CATAGGGTGTCAGGTATATTCTTGAGATCCTGATTTCAGCTCATCTGAATATATCCCAGCAGTGGGATTTCTGGATCATATGATGGGGGTGGTTCTATATTTAATTTTTTGAGGAACCTCTATACTGTTTTCCATAGTGGCTACATTCCTGTCAACGGTGCACAAGGGTTCTGATTTCTCTACATCCTCACCAACCATTGCTATTTTCTGATTCTTTCTTTCTTTCTTTCGCTCATTCTAACTGGTATAAGGTGATACCTCATTTTGGTTTTGATGTGCGTTTCTCTGATGATTTGAGATATTGAACACTTTTCATGTATCTATTTGTTATTTGCATATGATCTTTGAAGAACTATCTATTCAGACTTTTGCTTATTTTTTAATTGGGTTATTTTTTGTTTTATTCCTTTTGCTATTGAATTGTAGGCATTTCTTATATATTTTGGATGTTTGCTTCCTATCATATGTATGGTTTACAGATTATTTTCTTCCATGCTGCAGGGTGCATGTTCATTCTGTCGATCGCGTCCTTTGCTGTGCAGAAGCTTTTTAGTTTGACGTAGTCCCACTTGTCTATTTTGGCTTTTCTTACCTGTGCTTCTGGTGTCACATCCAAGAAATCACTGCTAAGATCAATGTAAAGAAGGTTCACCCTGCCCTGGCCGGTTTGGCTCAGCGGTTGGAGCATCGGCCTGCGGTCTGGAGAGACCCAGGTTTGGTTCCCGTTAAGGGCACGTACCTCTGTTGCAGTTTGTCCCCGGCCCTGGTTGGGTTGTGTGGGTGGCAACCACTTGATGTGTCCTTTTTAAGTCAATGTTTCTCTCTCTTTCTCCCACTCTATCTGAACAAAATATCAAAAAATGTCCTTGGGTGAGGATTGAAAAAAAAAAAGGCTCACCCTATATTTTCTTCCAGGCTTTTTAAAGTTTCAGGGTTTATGTTTAGATCTTTAATCATTTGGAATTTTGATTGTTCACTTATGATGTAAGATAAGGGTTTGCTTTCATTGGAATGTAGCTATCCAGTTTACCCTGCACTGTTTGTTGAAGAAACTATCCCTTCCCTTCATTACTTTTTTACATACCCCTTTTTCCACATGGTTTAGTGATTGAGTTTAGTTTATGGATCCCAAGAACAACAACTTCATTATTTTATTTTTCAAAATACAAGTGTCAGATATACATAAATATTTAGAATGAGATATTCCTTTTGGAAAGAACAAGATTGAGATAATGCTCAAATGTCAGATTAGATATTTCGACTCTATTTGACTTACAATTGTAGTCTTTATTCAGTAAATGTTTACTGGTATCCTGATATAAATAGAATATATACTACCCTGCTTATTCTCTCTTTTAATCTCTCTCTCTCTCTCTCTCTGTCTTTGTGTCTCCGTTATTCTTTCTCTTATGCCTTACCTTTTTCTTTCTTCCCGTATTATACAAATGTGGCTCAGACGTGATTCTTTTCTTGGAGAACTTAAAATCTAATTGTGGTTAGGAGACAAAACATATTTTTTAAGGAAGAAAATTATAGATTGTAAATATAGTCTGGGCATTTGGTGTGTCATTTCAAGCTCAGCAGGGTGTCAGCATGAAGATAACAATGAAGTGACATTCTAAGCATAGGGAATGAAGTAAGCAAAACATAGAGTTAAAAGCAGGAAAGGGAGATCAAATTACTAGAAGCAGTAAATAAATATATTGGACTGAATAGTGCCATGTAGTAGAAATGTATACATAACCTTGAATGTCAGGCTAAGATAGTTTAAGTTTTTAATTTCACTTTATCTTAAAAACATTTCTATTCCAATAAGAAAACCTAAATTCCTGGAAATAGTGTACCTTTTCATGACCCTGATAATCAATAACATTATTGAATATAAGGTAAGTACATATAACTGGGGTAGAAACTACAGATGCCTACCTTCAAGAGTCTTACATTTTAAGAATGAGACAGATGCATAAACAAATAACTAGAATACCATGTTCCAAATTCCATTACAGAGATATGCCCATGAAATAAACAATTATGGAAAAGCAAACAACTCTCTGTAGGATTTAGATAAGATTCATGATATGGCCTGGCCGTATCATGGTTCAGTGGCTCAGTGGTTGAGCGTCGACTCATGCACCAAGAGGTCTCCAGTTTGATTCCTGGTCAGGGCACATGCCGAGGTTGTGGGCGAAATCCCCAGTGGGGAGCATGCAGGAGGTGGTCAATTGATATTCTCTCTCATGGATGTTTCTATTTCTTTCTCCCTCTCCCTTCCTCTCTCCCTAAAATCAATAAAGAAAAACTGTTTTAAAGATTCATGATGTTGTTAAATAAGATAGGTCTTAAAAGATGAAAAGAGTTGACCAAATAAACAAATGGGAAAATAGGCTTTTTCAAGAGAAGACAAAAGACAAAAAACAAATCAGCCTAGTTAAAGATCAAAGGGAAACTTAGCAAAAGGAAAAATGTCTATGAAGCTGGATTTGGTGGGTGGAATGAGTGACAGGTAACAAACCAAAAATGTGGGTTGGAACCAGTTGTAAAGGGCTTTGAGGGCCAGAGCGAAGACTTTGGATCTATCTTGTAGACAATGAGAAATCAATCACTAGAGGTTGTAAGAAGGGAACTGGTATAAGTAGATGCAGGGTCCTTGAATGGTGTGGCTTGGTTACGATGAGTAAGGACAGTGGCTTTGAGAATGAAGAGAAAGAATGAAGACTTAGGATTTTTTTAGTGGACTTTTTAAATCTCCCAAAACATACCATCTAAAGCCATTATCACCTTATAGTTCATATACAACATTCATGCAAGTTCTCATTTATTGTTCCTGTCTACCTTTAGTTCATATAGTTTTGTCACCCTCCTCAAATAGGTAAATCTTTTTAGTAGCTTTTCTATTTCTGTTTCAGCTAAAGAAACCAACACTCTTGCATTTTTCCTGGGAAATCTTTACCTTAGAAAGACATTACCCACAAATTTGGATTTCATTACTTTCATTTTAAAAATTGTCATTGAACTTGATATTTTCCAATAGGTGTATTTACTTAGAATATGTAAGTATCATGCATTCGTTTGTATCTTCCATGTTAACTCTGCTTTCATTACCGATCTTTATTGGTTAGTATGGGCTCTATGTTGCACAGACTAAAATAACAAGGACTTGTTATCCCACATAAATGCCAAACCAAGGTAACTGAATGCACGGCTAGTGCCACTGCTCCAGAAAGTCCTTGGGGACCCAGCTCCTTCCAGCTCGCCTGCCACCACTCCCTCGGGAGCAGCCCTTGTTTCCATGGACTGGGGGTGATCCAGCCACCACACCCCTGTGCACACAGCAGCAAGGCAAGACACACTTATAAGCTGTCTTTAGGGAAGGAGTCTTCACCCATCCAAAGACCCTTCTGCCTACATCTTATTGGCCAGGACTAAGTCCATAGCCACAGCTAGCTGCAGGGTATGTAGGGAAATAGCTAAATCATTTATTATTTTGCAAGAAGGTAAGAACAGGTATTAGCAGAAGTTAAAATTTAAAGGGAAGAAGGAGAACTATGATGTTTTGGGAAATTAACCACATTAGAGAGCCAGAAAAGCTTTGTTCAGAGGATGATTTACTTGGATTCTCTCTCAGTACCTGTTTACCTTCTAAAATTTAGGATGATCATTCTGTCCTAAACTCTTCTTAGTGTTTGTGGTTTGGGTCAAATACAATAATGAATTTATCAACATTTTGAAAATTAAGTGTTGCACAAATGTGAAATATTGTTTTTTAAAGTATTAAGTAACCTTTTGAATATAAACTCAAATATTACTGGAGTGATATGTGAGTTTTTGCATCAGACTCTATGCTAACATTATTTGACCCACAGAAAAATATTAATGACAAGTAACTCATATAGAGGTACCACATCTTTGTTTATGAAACACTTTCAAGGAAATGATTATGCATTTGATTCTTCTATCAGTTTTGTGCAGTGAGGATTATTATGCCCATTTACAGACAGGACAACTAAAGCAGAGAGGTTAAATGAATGGCTCAAAGCCATGCCACTTCTGAGTAGTGGATTTATAAACTGTGTCGTTTGCAAGTCTCACACATTTTTGTAATCTTGCTGCTTGAATTTTTGTAAGCCAACTTCTTGTTGCCCATTTAGAAAAGTCTAGATCTGTAAGGTTAAAGTGCCAGTCTCAGTTATTTATTCCCATCCTCCAATCTGCCAGTCCCTTCCTGTACACACCCATTACCCTGCAGAACCACCTAATTTACTGCCTCACCAAGTGTCCTTGTGCCCCTGGCTCACTCAACTGCTGCCCTTTCTTTAAGGGTCAACTCAGGTCCCATCTGCTGTGTAAGAAATTTCCTGACTACTTCATTCCACACAGGCCTTCCATTTTCCTGAACTCTGTAACATAGAGAATATATATAGAATGCATATATTACATTTAATTATAGAAATAAATTATACACTGTATCAGATGACTCCATATGTCTTAGCGTTCTCTCCTCAACTAGACTTTAAGGTCTTGTACTTCCTAAGTTATTTCAGTAGCACAAAGACAGTGGTAAGAACAAAGGAAGGAGTTCTGGCATATGTTACAAAGATCATAATTTATTAGCATTTCTGACTACAAATACATTCCACTATTGAAAATATACTGGTTTAAATTATTTGTTAAAAAACAAGCATCTTATGTTACATAGTTTGAATACACATTTTTTGCGGAACGGAGATCTTGGACTCTCAGATCCAGGGGGGGCCCTTAGAAGCCTTCCAATGTAACCCCTTTATTACAGATGAGTTTACATGATTTACTTGAAACCACATCGTGGTGGTGCAGAGACAAGAAGGTTGAATTCTCCTCACCCTTAGACATCCATTCTCTCTCTCCCTGCCTCTTCCTATCAATTTTAGTTCATAGTTTTTAATTCTCAAAAGAGTCTTAACAAATAAGATGACTTATTCTCAAGGTCACTGATCCTTTCCTCTGTCTCTTTTCCCCTCTAGCCCTCTTCAATCTAATTCCCGTGGGCCTGCGTGTGGTGGCCATCCAAGGGGTGAAGGCCAGCCTCTATGTGGCCATGAATGGTGAAGGCTATCTCTACAGCTCAGTAAGTCCACCGTGTGTGTGTGTGTGTGTGTGTGTGTGTGTGTGTGTGTGTGTGTGTGTGAGAGAGAACTGGCATTGGAGTAACCATTGTTCCATTATTTCAAGAAAAAAAATGGCAGTTGATGTAATTTTATATTTTCTGACCCAGTGTGTCGGGCTTATTATGAAGACTTTATCATTTAGAATGCTAAAGAGTGTGTCCTGTTGAGAAAGAGCTAGTTACTTTTCATGCAATATAAATTCTCTTCATCTGGCTTTCACTTCTGGACGATAACCTATTTTTTTTTTAAATTTTACCTTTCTGTTTAACACCAGAGTTGAGTCATTTTTTCTTTCCCCTGCTACCTCTTCTTCAAGCACAGAGAATGGTTTAGGAAGCCAGATTCTTCAGTTTGTCTGGGAGTCTTCTCTGTCTTATTATGGAGGAAGAACTTTCAAAATAGATTATGCTTTTGTTGTATTTAATAAAATCTGTGCAGTGCCTGATACATTTGATTCCTGGGGTAATTGGTCACTTTGAAGGCAGGGTGAATTTGTAGAATGAGCTCTGGATTAAAGGCTGGGATATTTGAGTTTATTTGCTGTTCAGTTACTCTGAAGGTATCCCTTTGGGCAAGTCACCTCCTCTCTTTGACTTCATTTCTGGCCCTTTAAAAATTATGTTGTCTAATGTCTCTTAAATTAAGCTGATAAAAATAGGTAACATAAATGGCTACATTATCAGCACTGACATATTTTAAAGTAATTAATGATAATCTGATGCTGGCCTCAGTCTCAAATAATAATTTATGCATTGAGAGAGAATGTGGCTACACTGAATCTTGTGTATATATAATTTCCATTCTCTGATAAGGGAGCCGTCTATTTGTAGTTCATGAACAAATATCCTTGAGAATCATGATTGCAGATTCCCATCTTACTTCCTGTGTTCTCAGTAAACAAGACAAGGTTATTCAGAAAGTTCACTATGTCTGCTAGATTCTAAATTAGTTATTGAATAACTTCTGTTGAACTTTTCCAGTATTCAGTTAAATGAATCTCTGGTGTACTATGCTTGATATTAGTAATATAACTGTCATTCATATTAGAATTCTTAAAGTCACTGTTTTACTCTTGAACATATTTAGATCCAATTATGCATTTATATACTAGATGTGTACATATACACTTTTCAACAGTTTCAATTTAAAATAATACTTAAAGGTAAATATAATTTTGGCCATAACAATGGGCTTTCATTCTTAGTGTGTCATAATTCTAACAGTTCATAATGTCTAGTTATTGTGAAGCTATATTTTAAGTGCAAAAATTAAAATAAGGAAAAGATAACAGATTGTTATTTTGAATAATTCCAGATTTTTTTAAATCCGTACCCGAGAGTATTTCTCCATTGATTTTCTAGATAGAGTGGAAGAGAGGGAGGGAGAGAGAGAGAGAGAAACATCAATGTGAGAGAGACACATTGATTGGTTGCCTCCTGTACCACCCCTACAGGAGCTGGGGATCAAACCTGCAACCCAGGTATGTGCCCTTGACCAGGAATCAAACCCATGACCCTTCGGTCTGCAGACTGGCCAGGGCTAATTCTAGTTTCTTAAACTTAAAAAAATAATTTGAATCTACTACAAACTGAAACATAGAGATGATTATAGGATAGTATGGATTTAAGGATTTAATCAGTCATCAGGTCAACAGCTAAAGGCAGAGTATATTACATTTGTATTTATATGGCCATTATGTATTTTTATTTAAAAGGTTGTAGGTCAGATTGTAATTTAACAAAAACTGTAGAATTTATTTCTTTGGACCAGAGTTTATTTCCAAATGTCTGGGAGGAAGGAAAACACAGAAAGCCTGGCAGTGGTACTATAGACAGCAGGCAGTTGTGTAAGAGTGTCTGTGTGTGTGTGTGTGTGTGTGTGTGTGTGTAGAGGGTGGAAGTGCAAAGGGGTCACCCTGTTGGATGCAATCCCAGAGTTCCTGGGAGGAGGCTGGGTTTTCAATATGAGATGACTAAACTTTATACTCTGCAGCATTTTTAGAGATGCATGCCTTGAGCCCATAGGAAGAGGTTTATGAAATTCTTGCCTGAGAATTTTACTGTAGGTGTTTTTTATTTATTTATTTATTTTTTGTAAAGGAGCTAATACCTTAGAAATGCCAATAGTCAGCTGTTGCTGAGTTATATGTTTGGGGTACCTAGATTTTTAGCTTTCCTCTCTCTCAAATGAAATCTGCCTCATGCCAAGAATCACAGAACTTTTCCCTGCTTATGATCCCACAGGGCTACTGGGAACGATTTTCCTTTGTAAGCATGGCATCACTGACATCGATCATTAGGGCTCCTACTTTCAAAGTCACCCTCTTTCTGGACAGGACTAATAGGAGTAAATGCTGGTTTTGAATTTTAATCGGGTATAGGTCTGAAGATTTTGTTGTAGGGCTAAAGGGGGCCATTCTGGGGGAGGCAGAGATGAAAGAGAATTGGGTGTCAAGGCTTCATGGCACGTCATACTGCTGCTGTCTGTGCTGTTGGCCTCAGCAGGGGAGGCCTCAGGCAGCAGGGAGCCTTGTGGTGAGCTAAACACAGGCTGTTCACCTAGGCTCTCCTGGCTGTTTTGGCATATATGAAGGTTTGAAGTTATTTTCTACTTTATGTGAACAGTATGGTTGGGCCCACAGTAAGGGCCATAGCTGGAGCCCAGGGTGGGGAAGGAGTGGGAGAGGGGTGTGGGGCTGATTTGCTAAAGAAACAAACTTAGCATTCAAGAGAAATTAACAAGTAGTATCATTTATTTAGTGTCATTTTACCTGCTTTGTAGTCATACTTAAGCCAGGAATGAATTACCTTGTTACTTGTGATTTCCCCCTCACAGGAGAGAGTGGGACAGACAGAGTGACTTAGGTTGTGAAGAGCTAAACCTTAAAGGTTCATTCTGAAAATCTGTGTTTCAATGGGTGACTTTAATTCATGTGTATTTAATGAGATTGTTGATGCATCTGGATTTGTTTGACCATTGTAGCTCATGTATTTTTTGCTTCTATATTCTTCTTCATTTCCTTGTATTATTGAAACATTTTTTTTTTGTATTTTTATTTTTCTGCTACTTTGTAAGGTGGGTGATAATTATATTCCTTTAGTGATTTATCCTGATTTTTAACATACATACATAAGTCTATAGTTTGCTAAATATTTTTAGTGTTTCTATCCCTCTTCTAAGTAGCTGATAGACTGGAGGGTGTTTTCTTGCTTAGTGAGCACACCCCCCTTCTACATTTTAGATAAAATCATATGCACAGTAAGTTATTATTCTGTAGCTAATAGTTAAATTTACCAATATTTAAAATAATGACTCTGCATATAGTTTGTGTTTTTGTCTGTATGTATCAAGTTTGGCCCCTCTGAGTTTTCTTCTAAAGGAAATCTTTGTTTTGTGTGTTAGGGTTTTTCGATGGCGAATTTACCTCATCCTGGTATCTGTGAAAATACCTTCCTTTCACTTTCAGTCTTGAATTACAGTTCAGATAGCTATGCAGTTAGAACTAGACCAATATTTTTGTATTGACTCTGGCATGTTTAAGTAACCATGACAAGTTTGCTGCCCATTTAATATTATTTGCTCCGTAGGTAACCTATCTGGGAAACTTAAAGGACATTTTTCTTTTTATACATCACATTCTGCAAGTTCATGGAATAATGTCTAGTTGTGAGTCTGTCTTAATTTATCTTGTTAGGAATTAAGAATTCTCTTTTAATTAAAAGAATCATAGTTCTTTTTTTTTTTTTTTAATCCTCACCCGAGGACATTTTTTCATTTTTTGTTCAGGTAGAGTGGGGGAGAGAGAGAGAGAGAGAGAGAAACATCAACATGAAAGGGACACATCGAGTGGTTGCCACCTGCACGACCCAACCAGGGCCTGGGACAAACTGTAACCGAGGTACGTGCCCCTAGCGGGAACTGAACCCGGGTCTCTCTGGACTGCAGGCTGACACTCTGAGCCAAACCACTGAGCCAAACCGGCCAGGGCAGAATCGTAGTTCTTAAATTTTGGAAAATTTAAACTTTCAACTCATATATGTTTTATTTCTCATGTTTTCCAGTCTCTTGTGCTGACAATACTTAAATGACTTACATAGAAAGTTTCAAATTAATTTACTCTGAAATTTACACCATCTATTTTGTAATCTCACTGCGTTTTTTATGTTTGGATGTCTAATGGTTTCCACTTAATATTTACCTGCTCTTCATTTATTTCCTCCTGTTTTGACTATCTGGCTCTTTTTACAAAAAGTTATTAACTCATTTATCTCTCTGAGCGTTCTCATAATACTTTGTTTGACTTTTCCATAAGGTTAATTTCTTATGTAGTAAGTTCATGTTTCAATTGTCGATTTTGTTGGCTGCCATTTTTAGAAATAGATTTAGATTGTATTAGAATTTAGAATGAAATCTTTATGTGTTTGAAATCTTGATCTACAGAGATCTACCTCTTCTTCTGAGGTCTACCCTCACTTCCTAGCAATTCTTTGGTTGCCTCTATCCAGCCTCCAGTGGCCCTAGTTTAGAGTAAGGTTTTAAGAGTCATTTCAAGGCTCCTAGGGTAACATTGAGATTCGGGAAGGAGCAGTGGGCTAGGGTGTGGCTTGGTGTAGTTCCTTCATTGTGAGTCTATGTCCATCATTCCCTCTTGACTAAAGTAGTAACAGCATATTTTATTTCAGCATTTAAGAGTTGGAGCAGGAAAACTATTCCAGGTCCTAGTACGGCAGGTAGCCTGGCTCTGGCCCTATAGTCTACAAAGAGGGCTTTTATTGACATCGACCTGAGCAGAGCATAATGCTGGGTCACAGGGCCTCCTTCAGAACTGGAGCCCAGTAGTCCTGCAGCTATGACCTGCTCCGTGCTTTGTGTTTCCATTCTGTACAGGTGCTTAACTAGTTTTGACCCTGGCTATGTCATATAGGCCTTATATTTTTTAATATTTTATTCATCATTGCTA